TGCAGGCATGATCTGTGGTCTAACCTTAAGACTAGAAGATGTTACTTAAACAAGAGACCATGTGTTCACTTCTGTGCATGGGATTTGCTGCTTACTGCTGATATAGACTCTGCTGATGGCTTCCCAGTCTGCTAGTCCCATTCAAAGCCGAAGCCCATCTGCACCCCATCCTTTCTTTGGACTTACCTTCTGTTCTGACTTCAACAGAATGTTCCTTCAAGACAACCATGTTGGGGGTCTTCTTCTGAGCTAAGGATTTGGGAGCTTGATTTTTTTTTTCTAGAACAAGGAAAGCCTCTGCACTTGGTAGACAATTCTGCTTGCAGAGCTGGAGGTCTAAATCGATAACTGTTTCCTCCAAAGATCAATACTAACATACCTAGTCTGATTGGACTTCATTAAATATGTGTTGGTTATTTTTATTCATGCTTAAAATTATTCTAAGTCTGTTCTACAAGAAAATGAGTATTGAAGTTGGAAAGCTGGACTGGAGAGACAGCTCATCATCTAATAGCACCTCCTCCAGAGGACCAGGTTCAATTCCCAGCACCCACATGGCAGCTCACAACCATCCATAACTCTAGTTCCAGAACGGCTGATGCCCTTTTTCTGGCTTTGGTGGCCATTGCACGCACGCGCGCGTGTGCACACACACACACACACACACACACACACACACACACACACACGGTATACAGACATACTTGAAGGCAAAAGATCCATATACATAATATGACAATAAAGGTTAAAATATTAAAAAATAAAAAGGAAAAGCTGGTGAGAAAGGTTAGAATTAGGTTGGATGAACATGTCCCTAAGTGGGAAGTGTTTGATGAAATTCAGCCTTGCATCTCAAAATGAGGATCCAGTGAGCCCTGCCCAGAGCCTGCCAAGCAAAGCTCTTGGGAGACCTCTCAGTGGAATGCTTTCCTGTTGACTTGGGCTTATATGCTCCCCCAACGCCAGGGGAAACTGAGGATGTGCACCGAGCCACACTGGGTTAAGCTAAAGGCAGCGGTAGCATTGGAAAGTGCCATCCTGAGGCATCATGAGTCTAAGGAAGGAAATGAAGTGTATGCTTCCATATAGGCCCCCAGTTGACTCTCCTGACAGTACATCAGCCCCTCAGGCAGCTTGCAGGATGAAGAGCATATCCCAGGTCTATGTGACTTGAAGAAGGAATGACTCTCCAGTCACAAAGTTAGGCCAAGTAATCAACATATTACTTGTAACCTAAGAGGAAACTATCTCTGAAATTTCTTCTCAGGCGAAATCCACTAAGACTCATAAGTGGCCATTTAGAAGATGACCGTGCAGGCATTAAAAAAAAAAATACCAAGTTCAAGTTGTCTCAGCTCTACTAACGGGTTTGCAGAAGTCTGTGTTCTGCCCCACAGACATTACCAGTTGAGTTTTAATTAGAAGAGGATTTCTCTTTTGGAATATATAACACCTCTCTTGCCAAGGAGTAAAGGAACCTCACAGCTCATCAAAATCCGGGAGAGTTCAAAATAGAATTTAGGGTTTGGGGTCACCAACCTGCGATAAAATTCTGCCTACCTCAAGTTTTCCACCCCTCCCCATCTATCGTGGTCCCTCTCCTGTAGCTCTGATAAAACACCACGACCCGAAGTGACCTGTGGTAGCGTTTGCCTACGGTTATAGAAGTAGCTGTTACAGCCTTACTGTTACAGAGGACTGAGTTCATCGCCATGGGAGGCATGGCCACGAGCAGCAGGCATGGCAGAAGGAGCAGGGAGCCCAGAGATTACATCTTTTACTTCAAACACAAAGCAGAGAGAGCAAACTGGAAGTAGGATGAGGCTTTTAATCTCAAAGTCCACCCCCAATGACGTATTTCCTCCAGCAAGGTTGTACCACCCAAACATCCTCAACCAGTGCCATTAAACTGGAGATTGAGTGTTCAACTATCTGTGCCTATGTGGGGCATTTATCACTCAAATCATCACACCATTTTTAATATAAAATAAGCACAATGCCTATGACCCATGTACT